CTAGCATTATCAAGCACCTCCAAAAGTTCACACTGAAAAGTAATGCTTTGCCATAAGTTTTATTTTTCCATATCTTTTGGTTTTAGCATAGATTCCAACCATTGTTAGAAAATACAAGTATTTTCAAAACTTTACATTGAAATATTTTTCTGAACTCATCACCTACTTAAATTATTCTACATTGAAAAGATGCTGTCAAAATTACTTTTTTCTAATGTATGTGTTCATAAGGGAGACATTAAATGGCATTAATTTCACCCCCTGATCCTTAAATTCAAGACTGTCACTCACTAGCAGTGTAACCTTGAGCAAGCCAGTTGACCCTTCCAAGTCTCAGTTTTCCCTCTGTAAAATGAAGATAATATGTGCACATTGCAGTATTGCTGTGGGCTTTAAATGGACGAATGCATATAAAGTACCAGAATGCAGTGGGTAGTCAATAAGCATTGATGCTTTCACATTTAAAAAAGTGGGTATAACTAGATGATCTTTAACATTATGTTTCTATGACGAAAAAATAGTGAAGGGCAGAGAGGTGTTGCAGAAACCGTGGCACTGGACCTTCAGGAAACACTGTAGTCAATTTGTGTTTTTTGCTTTTTCAAGGAGAGAGCAGTACTCTGACGCGGCTAATACCCTCAGTATGGTCTCAAACTCTAGGAAACAGACCTTGCATACACAAAAGTATATTTCAGGGAGCCCACTCAAGAGCCTCCAAATCTTAACTCTTTTACCAAGAACAATCATAAAATTCTCTAAGATTGTCTTGATCTATTCACTGCCCCCGTGAAGGAATCTATAGGCAGCAAGTCCTCAGTAAAATATCTTGACTAAGAGAATGATTGAGGGTTGCTGGATAAATGAGGGACCAACGAGGATAATGCGGCAAAGTCTAAAACAAAAATGCATTAATTTTTTTCAAAGTCAAACTACACTTCAGCTGAAGTTTTAACTTTTACACAATATGAACACAGAGGAATAAATAGAGCAACTGCCTCTCACAACAATTCTTCACTTAAAAAATGAAATTGGACTAGATGCTCTGTAAGATATTTTTCTGCTCCAAAATTTTAAGTTTCTATGTTAATTTCAATGTGAGTTTTTTAATATTAAATACAGCTCTATGCGTTGATTACAAGTACAGGACCCATTTGAGTGGCTGAATTGGCTATAAAATAATAGAAACATAAAATTATACAACATTTCAATGGAGATTTCAAACATAAATGCTTATTCACAGTTTTAATGCAAACAATCCTACCTAAAATTTTTTAAATGATATTTCTTACTAACTGATGAGTAGGGAAGACCCTAAATAATTAACATAATCACTGTTTCTTATTGCAACCAATGTTTATAGACCTTTAGTGCTTTCTCTCTCTCTATCTCTGTGTACGTGTGTGTGTCTCCCCCGTTTGTTTGAGCCTTATATATTACATATTTTGCAAAAAGGAGAGGGAGAGTCACCAAAGGAATGAAAGAAAAAATAAATCTTGGCGTTCCATATAATTGAACATGTTTATTCATTTAGAAATTACAGCCACAAATTTGTACCTTCTATTTTTTCGGTGAGGAAGATTAGCCCTGAGCTAACATCCACCACTAATCCTCCTCTTTTGGCCAAGGAAGATTGACCCTGAGCTAATATCTGTGCCCATCTTCCTCCATTTTATATGTGGGACGCCTGCCACAGCAGGGCTTGATAAGTGGCACTTAGGTCCACATTTGGGATCCGAACCTGCCAAGCCATCACCACCAACCCCAGCTATGTCACCAGGCTGGCCCCCAAACTTCTACCTTCTTGATGTCAGAGGACGTTTTTCATACAGCAAAGGGTAATATTCATGACTCCATAATAGTCTCTTTGGTGACTAGATAAATGTTCTTGGTACCCAGATTAATACTATTCTTTTGGTTATGAAGGGTGCTTCAAAGGTGATTTCACCACTCCCTTAAGAAGAATTTCCAGATTGCGTGTGTGTCATATGAAATATATTCATGATAGCTGCTGTTCGGAGATAAAAAGTCTAGAAAAGTAACTTTACTGGAATGATGTGCATATGTGCATTTCTAGAAGCAGAATGAACTAATAATTGGTGAAATAAATGTTGGCACTTTTACCACATCAACAATAAACCTGGCTCCTGAATTACCTAGAAAGTTACACTAAGAATTAATACCACTCAATCTTTCCCCTGAATTTTTCTCTATTTTGTTATTAAACTGTTTGAGAGTGTACTGCATTCCAATATTTCTAATGATTTCCTTCACAGCCTCTCCATTCTTTTAGACCTAGGTTTAGCCAGGGAACGGATAAGCCAGATCTTTGTAAACTAGCCAAAATAATGCTTTGACACTTTTTTATACTTGTATAGCACTTAGTAAGTCCAGGCACCATTCTAAATGTTCTTAACACTTACAACTTCCAAGGAGGTAGACACCATTTTTATTCCCATTTTACAAATGGTAAAATGCAGGCAAAGACAGGGTGAGTAATTTGCCCAGAGTTACAACATTCACTAACACCAGGCATGAAGCCAAGGCAGATACTTTAAGGCAAACAGTGGTGTAAATCCAGGAATTGTGATACAACGTAGCGGGAGGATAACAAGGACCAAGGAGAGGGTGCCCTTCGCGGAACAAGGTTCAACAGCAAAGCAGCAGCAGAAGGAAAGAAAACCAACCTGACACTATGTCCCTGAACCATTGGTCTGAGATTCCTAGAACATTCTGTGAGGGCGAAATTGAGCTCATTGTTTAGGGCAGGCTCCAACCTTATAGATGGAGTTAATATTCTCATCAACGGATCTTTTAAATTAAGAGACCAAAGATCCTAGACAATCGTTGAATATTCTCACCAGACGTGTCCACGTCCTCTCTCCTGAATGCAGTATCAGCATTCACTCCCGACACCACCTTTGCTTGTTCCATTCTCCCCACCACCGCTCACCTGCCCTCCCTTGAAAGAAATTCCTTACCCCTTAGCTTCCCCATCAACAGGGGCTGATCAACTTCCACCTCTTTCATAAAATCCCCCTTTTCCCTATAAAGGCTGAAAGAGCCACAGTATTTATTATCTGTATATTGCACTCAGTCAGATACTTCAGTGAAATGTTTTGTTTTTCTGCGTGAGAATCTCACCTGGCAATTCTGAGGCTAAGGGCCACGTAGTATCACTTCTCTCGTCACTCACAATGCTCATCAGTGTGGTTTGTGTGTACAAAATGCCTAACGGATATTTAAGTGAATGTATCAATAAATACCATAATTTATGTGTTACCCTACTTTTCCCACCAACCCATTCATTTGTGGTACACAAAAAGCACTCAATAAATCTTTATCCATTAGTTACTTTCATGTTGTCCGAAATCGTTTGCAATAATATGACAAAAGATCATGATTATAATCTAATATTTGTTATTTTAAATGAATAGTATTTAATAATACGTGCCTAAGGTACTTTATGTAATTTCACAGAACCACACTATGAACACAATCCCAGGGATTCATTTCTAACGAAGGCAAACATTTTCTTCCTTCCTTCACACCTGGTGAGGACGCACGGCACGTGTTTCGTTCCTGGTCAGTCCTCCCTGTCTTTGGCTCATAGCTGACAACAGTTGAGAAATTTGAGTTTTAACAGTGATAGCATTTGGGGAGAAGGCTTGTAACTCAAGGCTGCCAAGTCCCTGGCAAAAATATATTTGGGGTTTGGGTTTGACCTTTCTGAAAGTGCTGTGTAGGCAGCACGTCTGCATATGCTCTGTCTGTGTTAGTCTAAGAGTGAACTTAAATGCGACGGGAGCCTGGATACCCAAGCCACCTTAGTTGATGACATTATTTGGGATATAATCACTAATAATATATCTGTTTCATAGGAAATGTTTAAAAGGTAGACATGCAAAGTTTTTGGTGATTCTTTGTGAAAACACCTCTATTGATGCCATGCCTCTTTTCTTCTCCTCCCCAAATGATTTCTACTTATAATTATTATAATTATATAATATATAATTATTATTTCAGACCAGAACTGTAGGGCAGATCCCTTAACAATCTATATCTCTATACTGATATAATATGTTAGTTGATCAAATGTCTATTACTGAATGTTTAATTTTAAAAATGTTCAAGTTTAATATAAACGGCTCAAGAAGACATATGAAAATATATCCAATGGAATTTAAGAAATAAGAGACTTGTAAAATTATTGTCACTGTGCATAAAATATTCCTCCCTTTATTTCTGCATTAAACCATTCACCCCATAGAAAAACTCATCTTCGGGAGAATTCTTTGGCCACTAGAGTTCAACTTTTGACCTCTGTCTTTCTGCTATTTGAGCATGCTAGAAACTCTCCGCAGTCGTCTTGTTATTCCAAGCATCAGGCACAGTGCCTGGCACACCGGAGGCACTCAGTAATTGTTTGATCAATGAAGAAATGAGAATCTTTTGAAGCTACACAAATGAACTAAATCTTTTGAGGATGGCTGATAAAAAATGTTTGCGTTAGAGAATAAAGCAGTCTTTGAAGTTGAATCTGTCAAGAATCTAAAAATTCAAAAGCTCTTCTGCATTACCTTGGAATTTTATTTTATATCAATATCACTTTCAAAAAATTATTTTATTTTCTCTAGCTTTTTTATTTTTCTCAATAATGATCAGGAAAGACTGATAAAGTGGTTTGTGTTAATGTAAGCCTGCAAACTAAGCCTATCACAAACTCACGAAAATCTCCATAATTAGGTGGACAGCCTTATTATCACATATCCTCCTTGTCTCAATAATTAACAGGAAAACTGATTCAAAGTTCAAAGCTCAATTCAAACTGACACATCTTTTTATTAATTCTAAATGCAGACTAAGTTATTTACTTACATTTTTCCTCTATTCTATAATAATGTTCAGAGAATTAAAACCAAAATACTTTGAATCCCTTAGAAGAAAAGTATCATTCTCATAAATTTTAAATAAGCAGTCATTTCATAACACAAAAATAAGCATTTTTTGCATATTTATGGAGAAAAATATATTCCCTTATTTCATATATCTATACAGGTGGGTGTTTCCTCATTTTTTTTTAAAGATTTTATTTTTTTTCCTTTTTCTCCCCAAAGCCCCCCGGTACACAGTTGTATATTCCCAGCTGTGGACCCCTCCAGCTTCGGCACGTGGGACGCTTCCTCAGCATGGCCCGATGAGCGGTGCCATGTCCGCGCCCAGGACTCGAAACAAAGAAACACTGGGCCGCCTGCAGCGGAGCGCAGAAACTCAACCACTCAGCCACGGGGTCGGTCCGTTTCCTCTTTTTAAAAGTGTATATCCTTTGACATTTTTCTCTATACTCTGAGTTTGTCAGTACTCTTTTTCAGTTGCAGTACCAGTAAGTGCCAAGGTTGGCCAATGAAAGCCTGAGCATCATATGATGTTTTAAACTTATTTCTGGCCCTCTTGCCTTAAAAACTCTCAAACTACATTGGCAGGGATTCAATCAGAAACTCCTAAACACTTAATATTACTAGAATTATGTTACCAATCACATTTGTTTAACACTTCTTGAGTGTGGTCTCTTATGAATCCTGTAAAGAATTAAACAAAAAATGATGAAGGTATTAACACCACTGTGGGTCTGCTTACCATCATTACATTTCTAGGTCTCATCATACACGTTCATATGTTTATACACCTTTCTTGCCCAGCACTCACCACATGCACATTTTAATACTGTGATAATCTGATTAATGTTTTTCCAACTCATTAGAAAACCCACTGACAAAGTTTTTTGGTCAAGAGTCAGATATTAAATATTTTAAGCTTCATGGACCAAAAGCTCTCTAATTACTCAAGTTGGCCACTGTAATACGAAACCTGCCATAAGCAATACGTAATGAATGAGTGTGACTATGTTCCAATACAACTTTTTCAATATCTGTACACCTAAATTTGAATTTAATATAATTTTTCACACATCACAAAATATTAGTCTTATTTTTTTTTCAACTTTAGCTTATGCTCTATACGAAAACAGGTGATGGTGGATTTGGCCCATGAGTCATAGCTTGCTGACCCCTATATTAGACTATAGGACCCATAAGAACAGATTCTGTCACCTTCCATTTGCCAACATAGGTTCAGACCTTGCTTAGTTCTCTGTATATTGTAGGTGCTCAAAACACGTTTATGGGATGAATCACTGCTGAATAACTTATGGTTCTCTTAACACTATGGTTAACTTATTTATGTGTGAGCAAATTCATTGGCACTCTTTTTTTTCTCTCTGTCTCTAAGGCTCTAGTGAGGCCAAAATATGCTAGCCTTAAAGGGGTAAGTCATTTCCATTAAGTTCAGAATATTTAGAAAGGGACTTAATTGCCAAAGGAAAGCTCAGTTAAATAAGTAGAATGGTAATAAGCAACACAATACATTATTAAAATTGTCACAGCTACTCCCTTACCAGCCCAGCCTCAGGATGCAGTAGTCAACAACCACTAAGCTTCAGAGGAACATCTCATCTTTGGCTCTCTGGACCTGATCTACTTTGTTCTGGCGCCAACTATCAATTTTTCCATTAAATTCTAGTGCTGTGCCTAAGCCCAGCCTCAGTGTAGCATCATGTCCCTCTGAATATACAAGACTTGGCTACAGTCTTGAACTTATGTCTGGAGTGAGTGATGGGGTGCAACCCTGAGCTAGATCCAGGGCCACATCACCCTTGCCTAGCGGTTTTACTGTCTTGTCCCTCCACATCCTTCCTTTAAATCACATAGTTGTTTCACCCTCTGCAGTTGTCACTAGCACTTGCCAGAGCTACTGTGCCCCAGAGATGACACAGCAGCAGTAGAGAGCTACCCTCTTGGTGAGAGCTGCTTGATGGACCTATGCAAACTCACATAGTTTGCAACTGTCCTTTAGAACATACAATGTTGCAGAAATCAAATATGTTATATAACCAATAACATTTGGGAAAACATTCTTTTTTACTTTCACATAAACATTTTTAAAAATCAAAACAAAAAGCATTAACATTGAGCAACGGTATTTTTTTAGTAAGCTGCATGTTTTCCTGTTCATGACTCTAAAAGCAGTAAAAAGAAGCTTTTCCTAAAAAGGGTGATTGATACAGCTCCTCTAACTTTTCAGCTACAAATCTGAAATTATTTAACTACCAAATAACTCAAAATAACCTCATGAATGATCTCCATTCCTATGCGAACTATCATTTAAAAGTTAAAACTAAGCATTTTCTTCTTTTGAAATTTGCAACTTTCCAATTCCACCCTGGACGTTTTATACACCGGACTTGATCTACCTTTAGAGCAGAGAAACTGTACTTAGATTTCTCAGTTGAATGCAGAGAGAGGAACTTGCTAGCGTGTTCAGAAGGTTTGGGAGAAACAACTGTGGAAGATTGCACGGTGGTGCTAAGAGAAGCCTAACAGAGCCAATTTCTTCCCTGTCTCAAGAATTTATCTGTTCACCAAAGTAAATAAATAAATACACACACACACAAATATAAGTTAAAATAGATGGATTGATAAACAAAACTTTTTAGAACCAGATAATCATCACCCACCGAGCTAAGGGGCCCCACATGATATCAAGCTAAACTGGGGAAACTGAGGGAAGAATTTCAAGGACTTTATCTGAATACAACAGGATCCTAAGAACGAGACTGGCAAACCTCAAAAACTGGCAGCTACGGTGCACCTGGAAGGATTCAACAGGTCCCCGGGCAGGTCTCCTCCCACACTCCAGTTTTGACCACCACGAATGGGATTGTGGAACCCCAGCCCGTCCCTCCTGCTTGTCCATATGCTGCCCAGCCCAGCCTTCTCTCTGTTCACAATTGGAAGCATTTAAGGGAGGGGTGAAATGCTTCAGAGTCACTGCAATGAGTCAGCACATTAATGCTGACTCTACAGTTATCTGATTTCGAGCCAGCCTGGCTTGTGACCCCAGGTTCCCTTTCACCCCACCCCAACAACTGCTGATTGGCAGCAGACCAAAGCCAGTGCGAATTCATTCTTCCGGCTTGAATTTAATTAGTTAACATGAATCAGTGATCAATACTAAACCAGCCCTCCCATTCTTAAGTCTTTCGTCACACCAGAAATTTGCTGATAGATTTTTGAAAATGGCTTAATAATATTCCACTAATGGCACTCTACATTTTGTGGGGCTGTGTTGTTGTTAATAAAAGGGCTGCTTTTCATGAATTTAAATGATTTGACAAAAACTCATGGGGTTTCAAAGGAGTCAAATTTTACCCACAAAACATTTCCTAATATATACTCCAAAGCAAAATAAATACGGAAATTTCTAAATATTTTCAAAGCAGATTTAAATATATTATTCTTCTTGAGGGTAAGTCTTTCACATTATTATCTTCTAGGATTTCAAATGTAATAGGAAAATGTGAGATCACTATCCTAAACCATTTCCACAGCTAAGATTATGAGTTTTCTTAAAGACACGCACATCAGCTTGTTCTGGGCTTTCATATATACAGTATGAACTATGATATTAGACACCTACAAAGTAGTCAATAAACTTGAATTTTTAGCTTCTCCTTTAAGGCTTTGGTAAGACTTTGTGATTTCCAAGTCAAAAGTTAGCAAAACATTATACACCAGACAAAAGAAATCACCTCACCTACAACAATGGGCTTGAAATTCAGCAGGAAAAGAAACACCTCTATATGAAATACCTTTTTAAAAATATGGAGTCAACCCATATAATGAACAACAGAACAGGTGAAGCAGAAGACAGCAAAGAGAGCCAAGGGGTGGTTTTGGATCTCTTCTGAATGCAGTAGACCATAGCAATAGTGCTAATTTCTTTCCAGGTGACACAGGTGACGTTTGGCCCTCTCCAGTAGACTGAGGTCACAGCACTTTGTGCAGGAAGCATAGATTTAAGGAGCACTTGGTGTGTGTTCATCAAGCTGAGATGAAAATGACCTTTGCCCAACTTCAGCCCTTGTTCATTGTCTCTCTGGGGTCAGCGAAGGAGGGAGGGAAGATTACCCATCCCCAGTTCTTCAGGCAGAAGAAGAAGAATTGGAAAATTGCAGTCCCCTGGCCAATCCCACTTTTCCACTTCTGGTAACCACCACTCTTTTCATCTCCCAGTCAACAGGCTCCATGTTTCCTCTTCCAGAAGATGGGGAAAATGAGAGGTCAGGTGTTCCAAATTGCCACTGAAGGCTCTCTCTTCTTTGCCATGACATTTTCTGGCATCTTGTCAGTTGGCGACCAAGTCTCAGTGTTCACTTTGTAAAATGAATTAATTTACAAGAAATTTGCTGATACTTGCAGGCTCAGCACTCTCAACATTAGAAAATGACAAACCTTACTTATTGAATTTGTTTTTTAACTGTCCTCCTTTAGAGAAGAAAGCCTCCCATTCTCCTTGTGGCTACCTGAGTCCTGCACTGGTCGTGACCTGCGTCCTGACAGAAAGGGGCCTTAGCTAAAGCAAAGGTAGGCTGCGGAGCTCATTTCATGGTTCTCTGCTGAGGGCGCTGCCTCCTTCCAGATATGTAAATAGCTTAAGATAATCAAAGACTAAAAAAAATGCTACTTGAAAAACATTTGGGAAAAGAGAAAAGAAGGGCAACAAGGCCTCTGAGATGGTATCTACAATGCAGCACTGAATTTCGCACGGCCTTCGCAAACAATGAATCACATGTTTTACAACATTTTACCAAGGCATTATTTTCTAATAAACGTCCTTTTGTTTGCATTCATTTTGTTGTGTAATATGCAAAAAAGAAAACAACAATGACTGGAAATTCTCCCTCTCTGATTTGAAGTGCTCTCACTTGCATGCTGAGAAGTGTTATAATGAATATTTTTGGCATCAGCTGCTGATAGCAGATTGGTACTAGCAGCACTTGATTCAAAATGTCATATGATACAATAATACACAAATTAAGTGCACAGAGGGGGAAAGAATCATGAACCTGTCATAGGTACAGCAATCTTTCATGGATATTCAGGGAGAGAAATGTAGAATTAGAAACCTGAAATATGAAAAAAAAAATAAACACTCAACATCCACAAATACCAGGGAAAAAACTGTTAACAAATGGAACATAACTATTCTTATGTAATCAGAACACAAGTGGTTTCTTTAGTAAAAATCTTATGGCAGGTATCTATGAATGATCTGGTACAAATAAAGTACTTAAGTCAATGAGAAAACATATTTACTCAAACATGATCAAATGCTTTTCCTATTAATTTTTGGCAATTAATTTTCTTAAAATAATAGCCCTTTTTCCCACTGCTTAATCTTTGTCTTCCATTGATCTTTCTTCTGAAGCAGACTTTTAAAAAAACTATATCCTGAATATGATTAGGATAACTATTAGAATTGTCTTATCTAGAAAGCATTTAAATATTTTCAATGAATTGTCTAATATTAACTTTAAAAATAAATACTTTCCAAATATTCATTTCAAGGACATTCCCTTAATACCGGGGTATTCCCTTGGCTTGTACTTTGTCATGTATGTTTGAATATTTGAGTAGTTACTGGTACTGGATTGCCAATTTGTGTTTGCCCCTTCTCCTTTTTATCTCCCCTATTTTTCCAACTGCCAAAATAGTAATTTTTTCCCTGAACTTATTAGTGAAATCTTCTCAATTTAATTTTTGTTTAACGTTTATACCTAGATTGACTTTCCCAAGTCCTAGCTCCCCCAAAACCAGCTGGATGACCTCAGTCACGTCATTTCTTCTCTCTGTATCTCTGTTTTCTCATCTACCTCATAAGGTTACTGCGAGTATTAATGATTAGGATAGGTCTTAGAACAATGCCTGGCCAGTGAGCTCTATGTTAACGTCATCATCCTGAAAGCTGAAGTGATTTAAATATGAACACATTATTACTCAAAATATTTTAAAATATCTATTTTTATTTGTTTTTACCCCATTAGTCTATGGATTACTTCAATTTAAGTAATTAGTTTGATTATTTTAAGTTGGCTAGCCACAGGATTTTAGAGCTAGGAAGAACCCTAAAAATCATGTTGTCCAACTTCCAATTTCCATAGTGCCTTCTTAATCATCATGATTATTGTCATCAGGCATTCATTAAACAGTTAATTGTACTTCTCAAGGATTCCAATGCCACCCAAGTGCATTTGTAATCTAAGCTTCGTGTATGGAGATTTTCTCAACAGTGGCAACAAATTTACTTGTTTCTCTGTCCTTCAGATCCATACCCAACACTGTGGTACGTAACGGTGCATGGGTGTGGGTAGAAAGGATGCCTGTAGACTTTTCCTTGTCCCTTAGCAGTCTTCCACTCTTTCTTTTCCTTTGTCCAGTACCATGTGGTTTATAATACATTTGCACAATTATCATGCACTGGATCCTAAAGATAGCTTTCTAAAGGTAGTCAAGGCAGTTATAACTGTCCCCTTATTCTACCCCAGGAAATGTGAGTCAAGGGTTAGGATGTTACCCAGGGTCACAGAATTAGAGGTGCCAGAGAAAACTGTAAAGCCCAGCTCTTAGGATTTCCCCTCCAAAGGTGTTTTCACAGCACCATGTTGCTACTCCTCAAAACGTTTTCTTCATACTATCGCATAAGTGGAAGCAAATAGCCCGGCAATGGGCAGAGAACCAAGAGAACAACCTAAGAACAGTGAAATAATGTCTGAACGGGCAGTAAGCTACTCACATCATTCGGCTGCTCAAGGTCAAGTTTACAGTGAAGTGATCTGGAGATATCTGGGAAACAGACGCATGAGTTCCATATTCAGCCAAGATGGAGTTGAAAAATAAAGTCCTTTGGGACCACAGAAGAGAAAACCCTGAAAAGAATTGGCCTCAGTCTTATTTTCCTTTCGTACTGATATTGTAGGACTATGTTTAAAATGCCAGGCCACTGTTTCTTGGTTTTTTTAAGGGTTAGGAAACCATTCTTATTTAAGTGAAGTAAATGAATTTCAATTCTAAAATGAATAGTTTTCACATTCTTGTCAGAGAAATTTAGGTAAAAGGAAGTTTGTGTAACATTCTCATGTTATCTCCAGGCCCAGAAAGGCAACAGATGGTCTCTGGGTTTTAGAGATCTCTTTGTGTTCTATATTAAAATGTTTCCACTAGATTGATGTAGTGTAGGAGTCTGATTCTTTACTAAAAGATTGTTTCTCAGGTTTTGTGCAACTTCTTCTGTAAAGTATGAGATACGAGCTGTTGTGGTCGGCAGCTTAGGTCAATGTCACAAAACTTTTCTCTACACCATATTGGAATCACTTTCCATCTTAGGAATAGTCTGCAAATAGGACAATGGACTTAGCAACGCTTAACCGGCCTTGTTCATCCACTGAAACACTGCAATGTGATTATCATGTACATTTTTGCTAAATGCACTCAAGAGTAGTATGAAAAACTTTAAATTGTCATAAAATACTAACCACAGATTCAAATAAAACTGAACCCAGGAATGGTATATTTAGTCTTGAGCTTGAAATCCTGAATCATGCAACTGCAGAAGCACAAGTGTGCAACCATAGTGCTCTGTTTTCCTTCCAAACCACTGCCAAAAAACATCTTTGGAGCCTGTGTTTCCCTCAGTTACGTACTAAAGCTCAAGAAACAGGAAACAAGACAGCAAAATTGGCCTTTGGTAGGAATGCTAAGACGACATGAAGTGTACTTCTTTCAGCTCTTTACGAAATCCTCATAAAGAGGTCAAACTATCTAATTCTATCATGAAGAGGACATGGTTGAAAGAATTTACCTATCTGCACATTTCCCATCTGAGTGTAGTAAACCATTCGAGTATAAAAATCACAGAAATGCAGCTGAGGAGAAACCTGACTACACAATGCAGGCCAGGTGATCAAGGCCAACATCAACAGTGATAAGTCATGTTTGATATTATTGATAGGTACCCTTCACATGATGTGATGAGAATGTCACTTTACCTCTGGGATCTTCCTCCCAAAAACCCATAATCTCAGGCTAAACATGAGGAAAACATGAGAAAAATCCAAATTGAGGAACATACTACAAAACACTAGACCAGTGCTCCTTAAAACTGTCAAGGTCATCAAAAACAAGGAAAGCTTGCAAAACTGTCATTCCAGAGAAGCTTAAGGAGACATGACTACTGTAACATGGTATCCTGGATGAGATCCCAGAGCAGACAAAGAATGTTAGGTAAAAATTAATGAAATCCCAATAAAGTATGGACTTTGATTAATAATAATGTAGCAATATTAGTTCATTAATTATAACAAATGTACCAAACTAATGTGGGATGCTAAGTAAGAGAAACCTGGGTGTGGATTACACAGGAACTTCCTGTACTATCTTTGCAACTCTTTCATAAATATGAAACTATTCTGAAATAAAAGTTTCCTTAAAAATAAAAAAGTCATTCCATTTATTTTAGTGATATCTATGGATCAGAATGATTCAATTAGCCGACTCTTTTTTTATTTCTTCTGTTTTACAGAGGAACGTGATGGATGCCCATGGGAAGCTGACCACGTGGCTGGGCTACTCTCATAGATTGTCCACGTGTGGAGTTCAGTTCTTACCAACACATGCCCCCAATCTTGTTTATACAAGTTGTACTTGCTATTTTAATTATGTAATTTAACTATTCTTGAAATCACAAGTATAATTGCAAAAAAGAGTTGTTATTTCTATGAAAAATGGATAGAGTGATTTGAAAAAACTTGATAAAGGCAAATGGCTAAAAATACTCCTTTGAATATGTGTGTTCTTGCACCATAAAAGATCGGGAGAAAATGCCATAAAAATCAAGAAGGATTCTGCACTCAGATTGGTTACATCTTTTAAGTTCTGCTCTACTTAAAGACACTAAAATTAGAAATCATAGATCAAGAGTGTGATTTCTTCAGGAATTCAAATCAGTTCAACCATAATCAAAGAAAACACCATGGGGCAATCTCAAAGTACTGGTGAATCAGCACTTACATACTTAATATAAAATAAAATGTTTAAGGCATGTGTGTATCATTTTTAATAACTGTCCTGTTTTACTGCCTTTTTCATTAACTTATCTTTTCAATTAACCAATTACTCCTGATCCCAATTGACCAACACATTCTATTAAAGATGATTTTTACTTTCATCTTTCATGCATTAATATTTTACAGTATGTTTTTGGCTGTCTTTCCTTTAACTGGTAAGCTCAGGTTTTTAATTTGTGCTGTTTTATAACGAGTCCATTGTGCAATTCTGCCACCTTTTTCCCCTAGTGGACTCTACACACAAGGGTGATTGCCTAATTATACTGTGTGGCTCATAAAAAGCAACTTCATTAAAGTGCCTTCTTAGAGGAACTGGGTGAAGCACTATGTGAAAGCTGGAGCAAAAATCCCCGAGAACAAAACAGGTTAGAAACGTTTTGTTTTGTTTTTTAAATTCAGTATCTCAGAAAACAATATCATTTCCTCAAAATTAAGTCAGTCCGTTTTCAAAGAACTCCAAGTAGGAGAGAATATGAGAATTAAATAAACGTGATATGTTTCTCTCTTGGCTTCTGGGTAATAATTTCTGCACCAGAAGATTATACTAGATGTGAATCTGTTTCTCATATCCTCCTGAAAGCGAGATCACTAAGACACAGTTTAGTCTTCCCAACAGAATCTATCTTGCTCAGTGATGGTGGCAAAGCTGCTTCTTCCTACGCTGGTAGAAAACTCGCTCTAATCAAAGTTGACTAGTGCCAAGCTGTCAGAATCTTTGAAGCAAAAGAACAGCAAGGTGCTCTAAGGATACAACAAATGGAATTACATGGTTATTTGCAAATTCAGCTTTTCACCAAAAAAAAAAAAAAAAATGCCCTTTAGAAATTAGTGTGGTTTTGTCTGGAATGTGCTTTGGAGGAATAATTTTAAAAATAGGGCATTTATAAAACTATACTTGAGAAACAAATGGAGGAGAGTCAAAATGGATGCTAACTATCCCTTAGGAATATAAAACAGTGCAGAATGGGTCCAAAACCAACGCTTCTTAGGATTAAGCAATGTACAAGTTTAAAGGTTAGACTTTTCAGCATACACATAGGTTTGGCTGGACTTTTCATATTTCCATTATGAGCATTCTATTGCCAGAAATACCAGCTGGCAAGTAGGCAAGAGATCAAGAGGAAAATCAAACAGAACAAGAACTGCTGAGGCTGGCCCGATTTCTACCTGTGACCTCAGCATTTTCCATCTCTCCCAATCTAGAGGAGGAGATAGACTGGAGAGTGGGAAGTGAGGGGAGAAAGAAAGATGGTGGGGGAGTGAAGAGGGGCACTCCAGGAAGCAAAGTCTCAGGAAGGCAAAGGTTCCTCATTTCTTTACCCTTCTTTGCTTCCCACAAGAATTAACCTTGAGACTAAAAGTACAGCATTAGGAAAGAAGAACACGAGACGAGTTGGGGAGCACAGCAGAAGTTCCCTAGGCTTGAGGAAGGTCAGAGTTTGAGAATACATCACCTTGGGTGACACAAAATGTGAGTATCCCCCAGGAATACTTTAGGAACATTAGGGAGAAAAACAAATATATAAACCAAATACAAAAATCCAATCACACTTTAAAAGCTTCCTGATCTTATCCCTAAACAAACCTCAGTTATATACATATTTCACCTTTCAAGTGTTTGAAATTAAATTTTGTTTAAGTGATATTTGTTAAAGCTATCTATTCTACCTTTATAATTAATAATTTTAAATTATAAATTAAATATAGGGGCCAGCTCTGTGGCCAAGTGGTTAAGTTCACGCGCTCCACTGCGGCAGCCCAGGGTTGGGATCCTGGGCGTGGACATGGCACCGCTCGTCAGGCCACGGTGAGGCGGCGTCCCACATCCCACAACTAGAAGGACCTGCAACTAAGATATACAACTATGTACCGAGGGGGTAGGGCGCGGTTTGGGAAATAAAGCAGGGAAAAAAAAAAAAAGGGAAGATTGGCAACAGTTGTTAGCCCAGGTGCCAATCTTTAAAAAAAACAAAAAAAAATTAAATATAATTTCAAATCTTCTGTGTGAAGAAAATACAAACCTCATATTCAAAAACTAAAATTAACTATATACATAAAGCATACCAGCACTGATTGCTTTATAAATGCAGCAACAACAAGCATCCTCTTTACAACCTGACTCACAACACAACTCTCCCTCCAACCTTCTTGCTTCCTCAAATTTTTCCTTCCCGCCATCTAACAACTGAAGCAGCCTCATGTGTACTTTCTGCCTTCTCACCAATTCCTGTTGGACATTTATATGCAAATGCCTACATGGTCCCTTCAACAAATCAGGCATCATCCAATTCAGCATCTTTCCCCAGACTCTACAGTCCTCCTGTATTCCCTAAACAAGGTAAGTCAACATCTTCTTCTCAGGATCAAAACTTCTGTGAGATCTTCCATAACCCTCTCTTCCCTACCCGGCATGGTTAGTCAGTTACCAAAATCTGCCCACTCTATCTCCTCAAGGATTCCAGTTTATAGACCCCGTGGATTTTCAACCCCATAATAATAAGAATCTTACTGTTTATCTGTTTGAATTACTGCAGCCCCAGCACCTAGCATAGCACCCACACAAGATGATACACAATACATATTTGTTGACTAAAGTTATATATTACTAGACCTCAAGATAATTCTTTTAGTTGCTAGTCTTTTATGTTAGGCATAGCCACATAAGAGGATATTTTTAGAGATCCTTTGCCAATCACTGACCTCTGACCTAACATTTTTTTTATTCTATGTTCTCTTCCTGACCCCACCAACCGCCTACCAATACACACACACACATATCTAACTTTAATAAAATTTCAAACTGATAACCATTATGAAAATATTAGTTTCAAAACAAAAAAAAAGGTGATTGCCCTTTTTTCCATCTTCTAGGCTTTCCTCAAAATAAAATGGAAAATTGGTAAGCATTAGGTCAATGTGATTACATGTACATGGGTCAAAGCAAACAGTTCAGGCCAAATACTTTATTCAATAATTTAATTTTATCCATCTACTTAATTGACAAAATTGACCATATTGTCAAATTTTAATTTACCTAAGCCACGCTGATACATCTATAATCAAAAGTAGCACTTTGGAGCAGAATAGTTCCTTATACATATTTATATGGAGCTGACTACTTAAAAATAGTTTTCAATAAAATTTCATATAATGTAACTGATGTATAATGACTAAGAAAAATATGAAAACACAATCCAATTGACTGTTATGATTTCCTATTTTGGAGAAAAAAACTGCTACAGAGTATATTGGAAAACATCAAAGAAAGACACATAGGCTCATAAGCAATTGGGGGAGGTAGAGACAAATATAAATTAATAGAGGAGACAGATTATAATCAATGGCAAATTGGAAACACAGAAGCTCTGATTTCTAAGCTTCCCTTGTCTTCCTCCGGCGCTCTCATCTCGCCTTACCCACTTAGGTTCCATGGTGCATCACCATAACCACCCCTCCCTACCTTAGCCCTCTCACCTTGACTTACCAGCTAAAACTTGCTCCCCACTTGTGCCCATGCAGCCAAACATAACTGGAGAAAAACATGCCGATCCCCTGACACACTCCCCTTAAAATCCGTGACTGCTAACCTCAAGGAGGCAGTTAGTGATGGAGCGCAATCTTAGCATATTCCTCGGAGATTATTTTATACTTCCCTTCTTCTCAAAACTCTCCCCCACCCTTACTCTCAGCTGATGGCTTTATTTCTGATGTCGCTGAGAAAAAAGAAAGTATCAGAAGAGGACTGCACATCACACCACCATCATCTTCCAACCACCTGCATGTGTGCCCAGGTAGGCTGTCTTCCTTCCTGTTACTTTTGTTGAAAAGTCCAAACTTCGACAGAAAGCCGCCTCCACCCATATCCCAGACCCTTTCTCATACTACCTGTTCAAGAGTATTGCCATAGCAAGTTTTCCTCATGAGTAGTCTTTGCTTCCTTGCCAGCTCATGGAGAATTCAAAAAGGTTTTAAAATATGATATCCAGCATTTTTCATTGTTCCTGCAGAAGGTCAAATGGAGTACCTGGTTCACCATGTTGCAGATATTTGAATGGTTAATTCTCGTCATCATCTTACTTGATATATGAGCAACATTGACTATAATGGATCTCTCTCTCCTTCTTTCTTTCATGTGGCTTCAGGAATCATGTTTTCTGGGTCCTCCTTCCTCTCAGAGATTCCTCCTCAAATCCGTGCTCTGTAAACACTGGCTCATCCTCACACCACTCCTCCTTCCCCATCTACCATGATTCCCCAGCTGTGAATTCAACTGATTACTTAAAACTTCCAAATTTAAGTCTCCAACCCCCACCCTGTCCCCTGAACTCCAGACTCAGAGATCCAACTCTACTCACCATCTCCACTTACACGTGTCTAAAAAGTTTCTCAAACTTAACATGTCTGAAACCAGACTCTTGATCCCAGCTCCAGACGTCCTCCCACAAACTTCTCCAACCCAAGAAATAAGTCCATCTTTCCAGTTACTCAGGCTAAAAAAACTGGAGTTCGCCTTGTCTCCTGTCAACTCTACTTTCAATATATGTCCAGAATCTGAACTCTTTTCTACCACTTCCACCAAAACCTCCTGGTTCAAGCAACCATTATTTTGTGGCTAGACCATTTCACTAGTAGCACATTTTAACTCTGGCCCCTGAAGTCTATTCCAACACAGTAGCTAGAGTGATCTTTATAAAATGTAAGTCAGATCATGTTACCCCTTTGTTCAAAATCCTCCCATGTCTTTCTATCCCCCTAGGAATTAAAGGCAAACCCCTCACTAAGACCTACAGAACCCTAAACAAGCTGAGCACGCACCGCCTCTCTGATGTCATACCCTACCACTCCCTCACTCACTCTGCTCCATCCAAAGTGGACTCCTTGATGTTTATCAACATGTCAAGCATGCCCTCACCTCAGGACCTTTGCACTTGCTGCTCCCTTTGCCTAGAATGTCTTCCCAGATACCTGCATAACTCTTTCCCTTACTTCTTTCAGTTCTCTGGGCAAATGTTACTGAAAATTTCCTTGATAATCCTACATAAAATAGCACCCCCTCCCCAAATACAGCACTTGCTTTCATCCTTCTCTGCTTTATTTTACTTACAGAACTTATCACCATCTTACACACTTTGTACTTACATTTTTGTGCTTACTTTGTGGCCATAAGCACCACACTATACGGATAGGGATCTTGGCTGTTCTATGCACTTCTGTTCATCATAACCCAAAAATATGCCTGGGAGATAAATGGAAATCAATAAATAATTGTTGACTGAATGAATCATTGCATTTTGAAACAGAATAGTTATAAGAATAATAAGAGCTAACATACTGAGTGATTGCTCCCAGGCATGAGTGCTTTGCACGTATTGTCTGCCTCAACCATTGCAACAATCTTTGAGGTAGGTTCTTCTAATGTCCAATCTTACAGATGAAGAAATTAAGGCTTAGAGAGGTCAAGTAACTCACCCAAACTCCCAGAGCCGATACATCGTGGACTTGAGACTGACACTTAAGCCTGATTCACTCCACAGCCCATTGCTTTTCTAATTTGACTCCTCACATCTTAGAGCTGTGTTGCTGGGATGAACCTCGATAATGACCTTAGTGTGAATACATACTAAATAAACGTCAACACTTAGTGTTAAAATCATACTCCACACAGTAGGTAAAACACTAAATGATAACTTATCAGATTCAAAAAGCTAGTAGAGTGCTAGGCACCACATTTTCCAACAAAGATTTTAGACATTTGGTATAACGTCATTACCTTGCTAAATGGAGGGATACCACAACTGTAACTTTGGAATTAGCGTATCTTCAGTTTAGCTCCAAAAAGCTACATGGTCTTTATTGATGCTAAGGTTCAAGTTGTTAAAATCTACTTGCCAAGACGCTACTGAACCCCATTCACCATCATCACAGGCACAAACCAGAAAAACCCATTAGATTAAATATCCCCTCTGAGGATAAATAGCACAGTGAACTTCTTGCCCTCCTCTCTGGGACCCGTTCCCCAGAGTCCTGTCTTCCTTCATAGCCTCACAAACTCTCCTGAGAAAAGAAGGCAGCGGCCCCAAGATGTGCTTGGTTCAACACCTCCTCTCTTCTGGCCTTGTCTTCCTGACCCAGATGCCTGCTGCTCCTCTGACTCTGAATCCAGCCATACTATCACCAATACTGTTAACCCCGTGTTCTACTAGCTCCTAATGCTTACCTGATGTGGGTTCTCTATTCAAGCCTAAATACATTTAAATCCTATTTTCGAAGTGTGCAGAATCAGCAGTTATACAGCCAGATGGGCTTAAGGAATAAGAAAGAGGAATAGGGGTGTGACAGCCTGCCTCCAGGAGGGCTCCAGTGATTCTTGCCTCTAGGTGTGCAAGTTCTTTTATGGCTGCCTCCCATACTGAATAGGGAAGACCTATGTGGCTGAGGCGAAGGGCTGAGGGGTTTGCCTTGCACTTTTAGATCATCTGCTCTGCAGGAAGCCAGCGATCACGTCATGAGGACAGCAAAGCAGCCCTATGGAGAAGTCTGGGTAGGAAGGAACAGAGGCCTCCTACCAACAGCCGGCACTAACTTGCTGTCCGTGTGTATGAGCCTCTTGAAGAGGATTCTCCAGCCCCAGGGAGCCTTCCGACGACTGCACCCTCAGCCAACATCTGACCTGCAACCTCACAAAAGGCCCTAAGCCAGAACTACCCAGCTAAGACTCTCCTGAATTCCTGACCCAC